AAATAACGGCTGATAAAGGTTACTTGTAATTTTACATTGTTAAATAACGGCTGCTAAAGGTTACTTGTAATTTTACATTGTTAAATAACGGCTGATAAAGGTTACTTGTAATTTTACATTGTTAAATATTAGCTGATAAGGGTTACTTGTAATTTTAAATTATTAAATAACGGCTGATAAGGGTTACTTGTAATTTTAAATTGTTAAATAACGGCTGATAAAGGTTACTTGTAATTTTACATTGTTAAATAACGGCTGATAAAGGTTACTTGTAATTTTACATTGTTAAATAACGGCTGATAAAGGTTACTCCAAGTTTAAATCCATTTTGATTGTTTTTGTTTTTTGAATTTCGCGCAAAGCTATACGAGGGATATCTGCGCTAGCCGTCCTTAATTTAGCAGTGTAAGACTAGAGGGAAGGCAGCTAATCATCACCACCCACCGCCAACTCTTGGGCTACTCTTTTACCAACGAATAGTGGGATTGACCGTCACATTATAACGCCCCACGGCTGAAAGGGCGAGCATGTTTGGTGTGACGGGGATTTAGGCAATGGCGGGCCTAAATCCATTTTGAAAGAGAGAGCTTACATAAAAGGTCCTTATGATACATGAAATGCACCAATGAGAAGTTGATATTCTGTTTATTACTATTATATTGTAATGAACGTGAGAAACAATTGTTAATTTCACTTCTATCCGGTCGCACCTGGTCCAACGTGAATCTGAGAATTCATGTTCTGCGTCGTGTTGCCGCAAGGAAGCGCTTCGCATTTTGGGAACGTAAGTGCTGTCATCTGGCTTCTTTCCCTTGCTCTAGTTTAAAAGTAAGGATAGCTGTGCTCAGCTATATGTGTGTAACTATGCGCGGAAACTATCAACAAAGTAACAAACAAACTCACTTTCCTCTTTTCGTATTATATTATTATCTAAAATGCTTTTTTTATATTTTCTACTTTTCTATACTTCATGTACAAGTCGAGTTATTTGTTTGTGTTTTATTTCATAATTTCTTTTTTTAAGTATATTTCGAAAAAGTATTGCATGAACAAAGCACTTTTTATTTGTGGGTTACTTAGCAGTAATTGGTCGAAAAAATCTAAAGTTTCATAAGGAGTAAAATTTAAATATTAGGCGCGCATAAAAAGCACAAAAACATCTCATCAACAGATTTGAAGGCCCAGCATGGCCAGGTGGTTAAGGCACTCGACTCGCAATCTGAGGGTCGCGGGTACGAATCCCTCTCACACCAAACAT